GCTAAATAATGAAAGACTTCTCTCAAAGGTTTGGTGGAGTGGTATTTTCTGGATGTGTATATGTGTGTGTGTGTGTGTGTGTGTGTGTGTATGTATATATATGTATGTCTTTCATACCTGATACCTTTTCAGAGGCAGATACTATAAAATGGTTCCTATAAATTCTGAGTATCTTTGCATAATAAATGGCTATCTTAGGTACTATAACAGTTTAAAGTTGGCAAAATGCTCCCTTTTTGATGGTGCTTTCAGACATACTTAAAAAAAAAAAAAAGATTCACCAATGGCTGTTTACCAATAATTGATAATGAAAACTTTCAAAATAAAAATAATTTGATATAGAATTTATCCAGATGATTGTTCAAATGCTAATATAACAGTGTGCAGAAAACCTTATTTGTCATTCTAACTAAACAGATGTAAACAAAATAAAAGTCATTAAGCTTAGAAACTTCCAAATAACTTCAAAATGCATTGTAAGGCCATATATTTAATTCTAATTATCCAGTTACTTTATTCATTCATACAGATAGCTACATGTAAATATCATTGAAAGGTCATTAATCAACACAATTTTGTATCGCTGGGATGTGTCATATACACTGCTTCATAAACTTTTTTTTTGACTCAACAGTATAAATGTATATGAATTTACAACAATTTTCAGGTAGCTGCCAAGTATTAATTTACCATTTCTTGAGCAACATCCTCTGGCACATCTCTCTCCAAGTCAAAAGAAAATTCAATAGCTTCGTTATCTTTGTATTTCCCCTTTAGTTTCTTAATATCTTCAATACGTAGCCATAATTTAATGGCTATTTTTTCTCCATCATCTTCTTCTGCTAATTCTACCCGTACCCCTGTTTCCTCCTGGAAGAAGGCATGGTTCAAAAGGTCTTTGATAGAGTATCTTACAAAGAGAAGAAAAACAAAAACAAAATAGAATACCATTAGATCGAAATTGGTAATTTTCAGGAGGTGGTGCTGATTATTGTTATACTTGCAATAATGAAAAAAGGACTGTGAAAAGAAAACCAAAGGACCTTTTATAATTCACTTTTGTATTTGTTCTATTTGAATAGTAACTGTAGAGTTTAACTCTCAATTTACAGAATATCACAACAATCTCATCTATGAGTATCAGCTGAAAGAAACCTTTAAAAAAATCTAATGATATAACCTTATATTATTTAACGGTATACTAAAAACAGCAATTAGAAATAGCCTAAAACAAAATTAAATTAAAAATAGCTTAGAATACCATGGCTTCAATTACCAAAGTTATTTACATAGCATTTATAAATTAACAAAAGCTCCTCACATACATGATGTCATCTAATCCTTGACCCATTTCCAATGAGGTATCATTTCCTGAGGCTGAGAGAATGAAAATCTTGCTTATAGTTATAAAAGTTATATATGGTGAAATCAAAACAAAGCTAACTCTTTCATTTTCTATTTCAGATCTCTTACTGCAATAACCTTTATTTACCCCAATAAAATCTTTCAATTCATTGTTCAACTGTTTTTTGCATTAGGTAAGTAGATGTCTGATTACAGAACAATTTTTTTAAAATAGATAAATGGTCTCAAAATACCAGTGAAAGCTATTTCCCAGGGAAGAAACAGTAATACATTTTAAGACTGGAAACAAATATTCCTTTGTTTATAGTAAAATAAGTTCTTAAAGAGATTAAGGACTTTTACTTCCAATCTGTGTATAAAAATAGAAACCTTAACTGCATTTCTACTAAAAAGCCTGAAGGGCCATGATGTTAAGCTCTTCCACACAACAAACTTTTAAGAGAGTAGAAAACTGGAGAAGTAAAGATATGGTGTTCTTTAATTTGGTTGATATATCAGGTTGTTCACATTCTTCAGAAGGCAGATTATGCTCAAGTTACATACAATTTATATTTATACTGGCTGGTCTACTTTTTCTTTTTGGAGGGTAAGGGAGTATAGTAAGAAAGATTATTTTTCAAAAACAGACAATGGATCTTTGCCATGCTAATGGGTGATGAATCAGCTATGCAGATGAGATATTTGCCACACCTCTGAAAAAACTTCTCTTAGTAAATGACTAGTTAATCTCCTCCTAAACTTTGGACAAAGTTGTCTCATTTTACTAAAAGGAATCTTGATGTTTTGCTCATCTTCAATTCTGGTATGACAGTATATCAAAAACTGTATGGCTGAGTTGATTTTAAAGAGCCAAGATTTTATTTTACCTTTCAGAATTAATGGATAAAAGACTAATAAACATCTGCTGTGTTACAGGCTGAACCCTACAAAACTTGTACATTAGTTTTCAATGAATGTAATAAATGTGCTTAAAGCAGTTCTGGCTTACTTAAATTCTACCAAATACCATTTTTACAACATCCTAAGCATTTCTAATATGAATACCTTTAATGAAAGAACTCTAGTTTAAAATTATATGATATAAATGGGAAAACTAATCACAAAATACCTTAGATTGAATGGTACTCAGAGCACATTTCAGTTTAGGTTTTTGTTTAAGCAACATTCAAGATCCAAAGAGGCAACTTACCTTTCATCTTTGTTTTGTCTAATGCATCCTTCAATAATTTCCTTCACTTCAGGAATTGCTACTTTGTCAAAACTGGCTGGCTTCACGCCCTGAAAACCATAAAAATTGTAACACAAACACATTATTCTGGAGAGAATGTTTGGATTTGATATTTAACTGACTGGCAAGGGTGCTACTAGGTTGGTCTTCTTGCCATCTTGACTCTTTTCTGATTTGCTATCAAGAGTTGTTCTTTGCAGGATCAAGAGTTGGGTAGTGGCAATTCAAGAAAACAAGTAATACACAGTGGAGTCACTTACTCCTATGGGCTATATTGAAGCTAGAGAAAAATTTTGTCCATTGACAACATCTTTTGTAGTGTTTCTGGTAAGTTATTAAATGAAAGGAAGGTCAAATGTTCTAATTGGTTGGATCTTTTGTTCAACCTTGTTCCCTAACAGATTTATCAGCATAGCATTTCACTATCTTGAATGCCAAATGTGAACAATCCATGTATGGGCATGAATTGACGTATTTATTTGGCAAATATGTAAAACAGAATGAAAAGTGATCTTAGATCCATACTGAAATATAAGCTTTACAATTAATTTCAGAAGAAAATTCCATGCCAATATATAAAAAACTAAATAGCATCATGATATTTTAGGTTCTTCATAGGTTTTTTTTTGGAAACCAAATTTTCATTCTGTGGAAAATATACATTACAAAATGCTACTATCTGAGAGGTAGTGGAAATAACATCTCTATTTCTCATCAAAGCAATCATATGGTTTGAGCTGAAGTAGCTATACTGATAAACTATGCAAGTGGTATTATTCTAAAAATCTATAAACCCAAAAACACAGGGACTATATATATATAAATGCTAAAAATCTATTATCTGTCAATATATGTCAAAATAAAATTACTAATGAGAGAAATCACAGAAATGCACTCAGTCTATGAGACTGAAATGAAATATATTTAATGGTAAGCTCAAAAATATCTTTAAATACCTGGATTGTGGTCCAATCATTTTCATTAATTACTTACTGCATTATTCAAAAATACTGACTGGAAGATTTTACCACTAGGGCCAATTTTCCATAGCAAAGATTTTACCACTAGGGCCAATTTTCCATAGCGAAGAAGTTCTGCTGATACTAAAGTTAAATCCACTTACTAATAAGGTTCATATCTGAGTAAGACTGCAAAGATTACTATTTTCATTTTTCAAATCCAGCTAAATTTTCCTAAACTGTCTTTGTCTTTACATATAATTCCAGTAGAAACAAGAATATAATGCTACTCAAACGAAAGGACTGCTTAAACTGAGCAAGTTGACATTTCAAACTAATGTTTAGAAAATGGGGATTGTTTTAAGAAAAAAGATAATGTACACTAAAAGTTCTTTGGTAGGCTTATTTTTTTAAAGAGCTTCTGTTTTAATCTAACATAGATATATTGGAAATTACTTGAATTCAGTGTGAATTGAAAAGTAGAAGTAATTCTGAGCTTCAGCAAATGGGGATAATCCCTCTCTAGCTTACCTAACCTATATTCATGGCAGCTAGAATTAAATGTGTATCTAGGTTGAAAGCTCTTTGAATAATTAAATTTGATGATGTGAGTTCAAAAGGCAATCACCAAAAAGATGGCTTTGAGTTAAAAGGAAGTGGATTCTCTCAAAAAATAATCAAGATCCATAGCGAACCTACTTTTACCCTTAGTTATCCTTAATAATAATCTAATAATCCTCTCCAAACCTAACATTGACCACTTTACGAACAATAATTCCTATTTATTCAGAAATAATAGTAGACCCTAAAATTAGGCACAAGATCACAATAACAAAACCAGAAACTATTCATCACTGTCACATGAGATTTACCTATTTATGCTTTCTCAAAGGCTGAGATTTAGGTAAGGAAAATTTTATACCATTGCTGTATTAAGTGATATTACTGCCTTTACAAATGTATAGCAGGTGCTAAACTAGCCAAGACAAACTTTGTTGGACTAGCAGTTGACCCTAAAAGATGAAGGCTGAGCTCTCCCTGGTGGCACAGTGGTTAAAGCACAGCACTAAGAAGCTAAAGCCACTTTTGCAAGAGTTTGATCCCTGCCTGCCCCAGAGGTGATCCACTATCCACATGGTGCAGCAGACCTCTCCTGACTCATCTGCTGCTCCCCTCAGCAGTGTACTTCATCGATCTGCCTGTTCTGCTCCCCACTCTGTCTCTGGTGAATCCTCTCACCACCTCTGTACTTCTGGGTCTGTACCCCAGTTCTGTATGTACAAATAAATAAATCTTAAAAAAAAATGAAGGCTGCTTACTATTAACCACTTACTGTGAAAAATAAAGAAATTTTGGGGTTCTCCCTAGTGGCGCAATGGGCTAAAGCACAGCATTATGAAGCTCTCTGAAGCCAATGCAGCAGGAATTCAATCCCCAGCCAGGGTGCTGACCCACCCACATGGTGCAGCAGACCTCTTCTGACCCTCCCCCTGCACCCCTCAGCAGTGTACTTTGTCAATCTGCCTGTCCAGCTACCCACTCTGTCTCTGATGACTCCTCTCACCCACCACACACCTCTGGCCTGTATCCAGTTCTGTAAGCATAAATAAATAAATCTTTTTTAAAAAAGTAAGAAATTTCACCAGTCAGCTACCATAGAGAAACTAGAATTATCAACAAATCTAGCAGAGGTATTCTGAATCACTTTAGAAGAAGCAAGGCTGTATTTACAGGGGTTGTAGCATACTGAAAATAACCCAAATTGTAAAAAATGAAAATGAAACCTCACTGATCCTGACAGTGGTCCACAGACAAGTTGGGCTATATAATAGAAACCCACTTAAAATTTAAAGATTACAGCTTTTAATATACTCATCATTACTCACCAGCTTCTTGTTCTTAAGAAAGAAAGAGAATTCAATATGTATTTTCTAACTGGTAAGTTTTTTTAAATTAAAAAACAAAACAAACAAAACCCTGGTCTATACTACTTTAAAACATGGTTTTAAGCACCCAAGAAAACAAGGTAGTGGCTAAGAAGTTGTTTTAAAGGTAAAAGACATATCTTAATTCCTTTTAGTCACATATATACTTCAACAAAGGCAATCAAGTGAGAGCCTAGAAAGTCTCTTAAATGTTATCCCTTTTCTTGATTTAGATCCACTCAGATCCTATTCTGACCAGTAAAGGCAAAGTTTTGCTCACTTATTCAGCATTAGACTCCAAAATACAAAACACAGAGTACAAACATAGGTAAATAGAGCCAGCAACCAACTGGCTTTAGTAATATCCTTCCTTCCTTTGGTAGTGCACAGGATCTTTCTAGGCAACAGTGCCATGTCATATTTTTTTGTTGGTATGGGATGCTAACATGTCTTTCTGCATTAAGCAAAAGTACTAAAAAATTTTTTTAAAAAGACCATTTTGAAAATGCACAAAATGATGTAAAATTAAGCTATATTATTAAAAAAAAATCTATCACACTGAAAAAAAAAGGCCATTTTGTGTAATAGAATACTAAAAAGGGAAGTAACAATTTTGACTCCCTTAGGCACATTAAGGCACAAGAGAAATGTTCATAAGATATTGCTTTATTTGAATTAAGACAAACTAAAACATGCACACTTCACAGCATGTTTTTCCTTAAATTCTACATCATATAATTTCCCACCTAATTTGCTGCGAAAATTAAAGTGAGCTGTAAAACAGTAATCCAATTCTTAAAAACTGTTAGCACTTGTATCTTTTTTTAAAAATAATATGTTTATTTTTACAACATTTTGTGCATTTTTCCATCTCAGTTGTAATCCCCGTGGGCTTCCCATCACCAAATCATATGTGTGCCATCACCATAGTCCAAGCACTTGTATCTTAAATGATTAAGTTTCAAATGTGCTAGGGTAAATTTCATAAAAGCAAAACCTTTCTCAACCATTCAGAATTGAGAAAAATCTCTCCTCTTCACATAAAATTTAACAAAAGTTCACTAAATTATAGAAATTTAAATAGTTTTAAAGCATTCTGCAATAAACAAATTCATGATTTTAACGTAACTTTCTACATGTATCACCAAGTGACAATACATTTTTTGTATATATTGGAAATTCTCACCCACCTCACTTACACAATCCTTCTGTGGGCAACAGCAGCAATGAGAATTTACGATGACAAACACAGAGCAAAAATCTTTCTTTGTAAAATCCATGAGAAAAGAACAGCAAAGCAGATGTTATAGGAAAACAATGGGGAAATGGATGGGATATATAAACTAACAGAGTAAATTAGCCTACAGCATAAGCAAGGCAGACATCAAAGTCAGGCTGTAGTACAGCTTCTTGTTTCACACTATTCATCCTTCCCCAACTATCAGACATGAGTTTATATGCTGCTTAGCCAATAATCTAATTATCAAAGACCAAACCTTTAAACAAAGCTACATTCTGAATATCAGGAAATCTGTTCTGCTGCTATTCTTCCTGCTTCTCCTCCAACAGCAACAGATTCCTGGACAAGCAAAAGGGAATTTTTTACTTGATCAAAGCTCCGCCCATCATGTTCACTGGCCCTGCCTCTCTAAGTTCAAAACTCACACTAGAAATCTTTCCAAACACTCTTTCCTCCCCTAGTCATGTTCAAACCATGTCTCTGAAATAAAGGATTGCATTTAATCACCAAGATATAAATTTGGAATATGTAGCCAACAAATACTGAATAAGGAAACCACAATACTAGGGCTGGGTTCTCAGTTATACCAAGCCTGTGCTTTCAACTCACTTGAAAGGTAGGGTTAACAGTTCCTGTTTACCTAATTTAAGGTAAACTGTTTTAGCACTGTCTTACGTTACATTAAACAAAACAGCTATGGATTAGGTACACAGAAATGGGAAGAATTTCTTCTCCTTTCCCTTCTACTAAAGGCTGCAATATACATATATCTATCCAGGGATATTTCCTTTTGCCAGGAAGATCTCATGGAATCAAATCAAACTCTCAGGACATTAATAAAGATAAGAGCAAAAAGCACTGCTCACTGCACTGTTATGATAGGCAACAGAATAGAGTTCTACCCATTTAATTTGGTAAGCTTGAAC